TCCAGCAGGACTCCGCTCCTGCACACAAGGCCAAGAAGACCCAGCTGAGGCTGCTCAACAATGTTCCTCACCAATGATCGACGGACTTGTGGTCGCCGTCCTCGCCTGACTGCAACCCCATTGACTATTTTTTCTGGGACGTGATCGATGCCAAGACCAACAAGCAAGCCCACAAGACGGTCGACTCTCCGAAGACTGCCATCGTGAAGGCGTTCGCCGCTATGTACAAGGACATGGTCGCCAAAGCGTGTGACTCATTTCGCGCCCGCCTTCAGATGGCCACAGCCGCCGCCGGCAGCGGTTACATCGAAAAATAATGTAGTATGTAACTCTAATTGTTGCTAAATAAACTGTCGGGTCTCTGCATATGCAACTTTTGGTTTTATTGCCTGTTTCGTTTTCTTTTTGTCAAGTGTCGGATTTTGCTGCAACAGCCTGTAGTTGACGATGACAAAAATAATGTATTAGCCGATCGTAAGGAGTAAAGAACTGAGAAATTGAACTCTGTTTCGCGATATTTTTTCTCTACATAATTTGTAACTTTTGCTTTTTTATGTGATCTGATAGGCTCAGATAGTCTACGAAAATTTGGGTGTGTTCTCATTAGTCAAAACTTTGTTTTTCTCACGTAATAAGCTAACATCTAATTCCGGGCGACTTGAGGTCATTTAAGTTGAGGCTAAAAAATGCGAATAGAGGAATTTGATTCAAATTTTGTCTGTGTCTGATTGGATGATTAATATTTTGATATTTTGATTATATTTTTAAAAGTGATGAAGTATAAATGGTGGAGTTAGTCATCTGATGAAGTATTAAGAATAGATAAGACAAAATTATTCAGAATCCTTATATAAATTAGTGTTCTCAGAAAATACTGATGTAAAAATTTTATTAATTAAAATGAAGAAAAAATAGGAATATTGAAACGCTTTGCCGTCCCTTGAATTTTTTTTACCTTGCTAACGAAAGAAATATTTGAGTAAGTTTTCTTACACACACACGCACACACACACACACACACACACATATATATATATATATATATATATATATATATATATAAAGTTGACTCATATATATATATATATATATATATGTATATATATATGTGTGTGTGTGTGTGTGTATGTGTGTGTGTAGTTTTCATGTATGCCATGTTTATGGGTTAAAGCACTCAATGTCAGGGATAGAGCTTATGTAAATATAAAAGTGTACACTTAAGTCAACCCCCAGTGGCGACAGTCTGTTGCATGGCGATTCCGTTTAAGCAGAAAAGACTATCGTCGCTGGGTGTTTCTTTCAATTTCTACACACACACTTGCGCGCGCGCACACACACACACACACACACACACACACGCACACACATATACATATATATAACGAAATATTGAAATATAAAGTTTTCTTATAATAAATACATACACTCTCATATATATATATATATATATATATATATATATATATATATATATGAAAACTTTATACTTCAGTATTTATCCAGATTGAAAATTACACACAAACACCCACACATTACGAAAAAGGAATACCTTATATCGCATTAGGTTGACCCACGACATCTAATGTTTCTTTTGTGGTTGTAGAAATTAAACATTTCCGATAATAACCAGGAATTTTGCCTTGATACAGATAGTAGACTGGCAAAATAATGTCTGTCAGGAAAGTGTGTACTAAATAAATTTTGGAAGAATATTGTCGTGCTTCTGCGTATGATTGATTTGCAATAGATCTCCAGAGACTACAGTGTAAACATTTATGCAATAACAGATGTACTTCATTGTAAGCGTGTTTCTAATAATTATCGGCAAACCTGGAACAGGGAGTTTTAATGTTGAATATGAAATCAAGACTTTTGCACCTGTTTCTTCTAAAGATAATTTTCTATTCTTCAGTTAGTCAGATTTAATAATACTTGTAAAATCTGTAATAGTGGAACGATTGTTTGACATAAATTAAAATGTCTACTTTAAATGTTAAGATTTTGACCGGAATCATTAGATTAAATATCTTCAAGAAGACCACGTGAAACTCTATATTTTAGGTTAAGTTCTTCGACTGAAATTGTACTTCATTTCTGGATGACGTATATTGCCTAAAATGAATTCAATCTTCTTTGGATTCTTTATGAGTGAAGCCAGGCTTGAGACTGGTTACTAAAACTCTAAATTATGACACAACTGTTAAGTGGCGTTTTTGAATTCCATATCACAAAGAAATTTGCTAACGTAATCATTTTAGTTCTTATCCCGTGCCATAAAATTTTAGTCAGGTGTTAGACAAAGTTCAGTTTTCCAACTTTCTTCTCTACCCAGGGTTATTTTACTATTATGTGTAATATATTACCTTCTGGCTAGTCATTTTACTATTCTGTTTGCTATCCATTGGGTACCAATCAACCAACCAGTAATAACGATTTTAAAAATCATGTTGTTGTGTTTAGCCATGACTACGAAGGGGTAATAAACCTTAGCCTTCCGACGTTTATTAACTTATAAATCTTTGCACATAGTTTGTGATTATGAATGGGTTTTATTGCTAAATTAAAAACTGAGTAAAAACGAAAGTGCTTGAAATTCAAGATGTACTTAAATTAAGTATTATCCATGAGTTCAAGGGGTTGATAATTTTCAGATATAATAGGATTCCACAAATACACCATTCAAATTCACCACCTCTAATAACAATTTCTATTTAGATCTTCCTAGGTAAGTAGCTTAAAACCCAAGTCGAAAGGTGGGATTTCCGCTATTATATATAATGGTATATAAAAATAATCATGATAACAATAGTTTGATATCATCATTACGATTAAGAGAACAGCAACAGAAATACTAGTAGTAGTAGTAGTAGAAGTAATAACAATCTATATGATAAATGCTAATGTCAGTGTGTCACTGTGACAGACTTTTTCAACTTTACTCCTAGAGGCTGTAGCCCAACATATCATACCATTTTGGAAACAGGCCGATTCCATGAGCAAATTAAAAATATTCCGGGTCGGATCCGGAGCTGCAATCCTTAAATTTTCGTTTCCCAGCTTTTAAGCTAGTTGCTAATATGCACCGAATGTAGCTAAACTTTTGCACACTCTGTTCTAAATATCCGGAGAGCTTACGACCATTTCACGTTGAAAGGCTGATTCCTGTACGATCACCGAAATTAAACAACCAGTACCAGGTGAGTGACTGCTTGGAAATACAAAGTGATGTAAGCTTGGATGTGCGCGTGGTGTTAATCTTGGAGCCCAGTTTCAATTTCTGTTGTCTTCGTTGTAGTCACTTATGCGCAAATAACCTTAGAAAAGATATCAGTCCACTTCCTCTACCCCCAGCTATGGGTTAATTAGTATAAATTATATCACTAAACTATTATTATCTCAGAGAAACATTTTACAATCTAAAAATATTTCAGGTCTTCAAATAAACCTTTATAGGGGTGATAAGCCGTAAAAAAATGAATTAATAAATGAATATCCGGATTTCTTTATATCCAATTTCCGTTGTCATTTTCTATTTATTCAATATCGGATTATTTACGCATTCCTTCTTTCATTTGAAATTCTTGACTTATTTTTGTTTATTTCATATCAAATATTCAGAATATGGTAATCGCCCAAGTGTTTCTTTCTCTTTCTCTTCGGGCTTTTCTTTTTTCCAATTATTATTACTATTCTTATTTTTATACTTTGATGGAACCAATTTCAGAGTGGGCTTCATTTCAGCAACTGAATCATCTAGGATCTTATATCCAAGATAAAATCATATAAATATTTACCAAATTTAATTCAATCTGGAACATGCCTAGACAAAACAGCGTCAGATTCCGAAGTAACTATAACATTTCAGAGAGCGTTCGAAATACACTTTCCTTTAGTATTCTTGAAGTTTGGGTCACAGGAATTCTTCCGAATATCGGTTTGGATTGGTTTGTTTTGTTTTACTGCAAATCAACCTCAATGGGTTATTTAATGCCAAGAAAATTTTTATTGCTGCTAATTTTTTTTTTTTCAAAAATATATTGCTCGTAATATTTTTTTCGTTCAAAAATCTATCTCTGGTAATATTTTTCCATCAAACATTTATTTCTTGTAATATTTTTTCCTTCAAAAATCTATTTCTGGTAATATTTTTTTCCTTCAAAAATGTATTGCTGGTAATATTTTTTCTTCCAAAATATATTGCTGCTAATAATTTTTTACAAAGTATTTATGTTATTAAAATTTATTTTTACGCATTCATAGTGTTTTGAACCAAGATTGGGAGATAACTATTTTCCCATAGCCGGGACCCTAACAGGTGCTACCACATCGAGTTAGGGTTAAGGACGCCAGCAATTAAGAAGTGGTTCCACGCTCCTCAAAACCTCCTGATCACATCTAGTTTATCTTCTTACTCAGGACACAGATCTTGTTTATCGTCACGCCCAGGACGGTTCCGAATATCAAATGCTGTTCATATTCAAGTATTCTATATTAAATAGCAGATTATTTGATTATAATCTATTTTATACTTGAAATCATCTCCAGATCATTTATAATCCTCATGAATGTAAATGTTACGCTATCTTATATTATTGATTGATTAGTTATTTGTTTAAGGATTATCGATATTTTGCAGGTTATTTAAAGCCAGAAAATATTTTTTACATTGTAATAATTTTTGGAGGTAATAAGAATTTACTGATACAATTCCTACTACTTAATCCATAGCTGCGGGAGAAGAAGGGGATTCACATCTGTTTCAAGGAATAGCGAAAGATACTTTTCAGTCCTGGCCAATAATGACTCTCCACAACTTCTTGTCATTCTTTTAGATTAATCTAAGTAACTCCTGGTTATTTCCTATTCCTTCTCTGTCCTTATTCTGTCATCATTTACTCAAGCCTATCAAGAAGATTACTCTCTGCTTTCCTTGTAATGCATCATAAAATAAGGTTGAAAATAAAGATAAGAGTGCTAGGATCCTCTGTGATATCTATTACGGGAATGAAAGGTTAAGGTTAGAAAGATGTAGTTTGATTGACGAATGTTTAGATAGATAGATAGATAGATAGATAGATAGATAGATAGATAGATAGATAGATATGAATAGAATGATATATCTATAGAGAGAGAAAGTGAGTGAGGGATAGACAGAGAATATGAAAAATTGAAATAGATAGATAGATAGATAGATAGATAGATAGATAGATAGATAGATAGATAGATAGATAGATTGATAGATAGATTATGTGATAAATGAGGAAGTTTTGAGGAGAATATGAACTGCAAAGAAACTGATGTTAGCAATCAGAAAAACCAACAGAAACTGTAAGATGCCTATAACGAGGAAAGAAAGCATGGTGAATATAACATTCACAGGAGGCATCGAAGTGAAGCGGAAAAAAGCTACAACTAATGCATTTTGCCTGATGTAGAAGCTAGATACATAAACAAGTTCTACAAAATGAAAGAAAACGTGCATTACTGAGACTACCAAAACACATGAAGCTGTTGAGTGTCAAGTTCTACATATTCTGTTTAGAGGGAAATTCGTATAAAAAGAGGAATATCAAGTAGAAATGATTGCTGTTTTTTTTTGTTTTGTTTTTTCGGAAAACTATTGCAAACAAGGAAAATATGCACCGATATTTGTATTGTTAGAAAATAATCTAATTTCTCAAATATTTTCGGGCGTGGACATCTGTTATTTTTCTTCGAACAGCAAAAAGATATCCTATCTCATGGGATTTGTTTTCAGTTTATGCAAACTTGGAATCAGCCCGTGGAGTAGATGATCATTTTTTTAAAGTGAAACGCAAAGATTTTTCTCATTCTTAAATTTCGTTCATTCTTTTATGCATTTCATAAATTCTATATAAAATAGCATAAAATTAATTCTATATAAAATCGAATAAAATTTAATTCCATATAAAATAGAATAAAATTAATCCTATACAAAATAGAATATTTTTTTTTAAATTCTCCACAATATAGAATAAAATTGCCCTATATCAAGAATCACTTATACCAGTGCTTCTCAAACTATATGATGTGGCGTACCAGCAATTTCTATTTTTAATGTGTGAGGGACCGAGAAGTGAAGATTCGCAATCCATCTGTGGGTTCGGTGGTGCATCAGCTGTGCCCCCCCACCTTTAGACATGTAGTTAGATTATGACTCTAAGACATTAAATGCTAATTTGAAAAAGAAGTTCATTCAAATCCACGTGGCTATCCCCTTTTTCCGCATTCAGGCGAATTTTTAAAGGCCAAATTAGAAATATGTGTCCATAAAAATACCCCCTGTTGGTATTTCTAGATGTGCTTCCGACACAGTCAAACGCCACTTCATCAGAAATGTGTTGTCATACGGGGTTCAGGTCACTGTTTTACTGTTCGTTATATCGCATTCTTTAGCTGTATAGCAATGACTTTTAACAAGAGTGAAATAAGGGATGAATAAAGGATTTATTTCGTAGTGTTTCTTTGCATTGTAATGATGAGAAATTATGCTCTTCCTCTTTACTAAAGCATGATGTGTTCGTCTTAATTCTTCGTTTATCCGATCAATTGGCTGGTTGTGACAGATGATCTGTCTACATTCCCACTGCTCGACTTAGACGTCAAATGTCATATTAAACCAAAGAAACGCAAAACAAATACTTCTGTGGATAGACTCCTGCGTTTCCTTTTGTCATTGGTTTCTCATTTTTGATAAGTCTCGCTTTCCTTTTCTCTTGACATGCAAAACTCATTTTTCATCAGCTGTTAAAATGCGATGCAAAACTGAAACGTTGACATTTCTGGATAGATGAATGCTGCTGATGTAGGCACATTGTTGTCGGCTCTCAAACGATATCTTATAAGTAATGGAAATTACTTCTTTGCAGTTGATCAAACTAAACCACGAAATAAACAATCAATGATACCTTGTCAAGTAGATAACTAACTGGACCTAGACTCAGTTTCTTACCATTCAAACTAAGTTTGGTATTGCAAGCGAATTTTGGAATGTCGATACAATAGTTATCAGTGAAAATGAATACCCTAGCGCCTCTTATTAAAATGATTGGTTTTCTCTATATCCATAGAAACTAATATTATGTATGTATGTTCTTATAAAACTCCCTAAATTTCAAAATGAGTTATTCCAAAATTTCTTTGAAAATAAGACAGAACTAGGTAATTTAATTTAATTTAAATTGCTATAATTGAATTGGAAGTTTTAGCTTCTGTTTTTGAAACATGGTAACTCTTGTATAGCGATGGAATCATATTTGGAAAAAAGAATTATATATATATATATATATATATATATATATATATATATATATATATATATATATATATATATATATCATCATCATCATTATTATTATTATTATTATTATTACTTAAACGTTATTTTAGTCGTGTTTGAGTAGACACTCCGTTTATTTATTAAACAGTATATTTAATTATTTTCGTCTACCGGCTTGAATATTCAAGAAATGTTTCTATAGAAAAATATGCGCTCCGGCATGCAGTAAACCCGCCGTTAACAAAGGGAAATCAGTCATGAGATATGATGTGCTTTGAATCCTCGGTTGAAAAAATAGAAAAGTAGAAATGTGCCTTTAAACACAAATTGAAGTAGACGTATTTAAAGAGTTTCTTATTCCAACGTAAACAAAGTAATTTGTAAAGGAGGTGGGTGGATTTGTTTTTGCTAATCCGACAGATTTTTATTACTTAAAGATTATTTTTAGTCGATACTCGTATTTGAGTAGACTCTCCATTCATTTATGAAACCCTATATTTATTTATTTTCATCTGAATAACATTTCTCAAACATTTAGGCCGGCAGAGGAACATAAATGAATATACTATTTGATAAATAAACTGAGCGTTTGCACAAATACGAGTATCCATTAAAAAACGTTTAAGTAATAAAAATCTGTTGTGTTAACAAATAAAAAACCCATTCCCTTTCTTTACAATATATATATATATATATATGTGTGTGTGTGTGTGTGTGTGTGTGTCTGTGTGTGTGTGTGTGTGTTATTTATTAATGATTTATTCAGCGTAGCTTAGATGTGGGACAAGGCTAAACTGCTGCTATAAAAAGAAAACTGCAACACATATCAATTCTGTATTTAATCTCCTTCGAATTAGTCCCCTTCTGAAGTACACACTTTATCCAGTTTCGTGTCCTTTGATGGAAGCATTCCTGGGTCCCCATTTTGGTAATAGCAAGCAGCTATGTTGTTGCAGTCTCTTGGAATTCTTCGATATCCTGAAATCTTGTTCCTTTCAATTTGGATTTGATTTTTGAAGAAAATAGCAAGAAGGAAGACTTCAGGTCTCTGGTGGTTGTCATTTTTTTCTGTTTTCCCCGAAACTGTTACATGATTACAAATGGAACCTCTATGGCGTGAAGAGACGACCACATCCTACACACTTTCTTCCAAGGACCGTTTAAACAATGGAGGTAAGTGAGAACGTTAAAACTTAGCAAGAGAGTTCAAGGTTAATTTGAACCAAGCGGCCTCGCACTGCATACTTTACCTCCGATACAATACCAACAGTCCAGATACATTTTTTATTCTTTCTTTTTATGTGCCATGTCGTTTCAGGACGTATGCGATAATGGCTCTCCCCATCCCTCTATCTCTTGCAGCTTTCGATATGTTCCTTCCCTCTACTTCCTCCCCCAAGATCACGTGCTGTCATCCGCTTGCTTAAGTCGGCAAGGTGTGTCACACGTTGCTTTCCCTTGTCTCTCTTTCATTTTATTCAACCCATGAGTATCAGATTCTTCAGGCCCTCCTTCCTCATTATGTGTCCCAGAGACTTTTGCTGCTTCTTCCTGATATTAAGTATATGCCTCCACCTTGTTTGTAACCTCTCCAATATATTATCGTTGCTTACACGCTCGGTCCATGATATCCTTATCATCCTTCTGTAGAACCACGTCTCTGTGGCCTCGAGTCTCTTCTTTATCTTTGAGGAAAAGAACAAACATTCGCTGCCCTAAAGGACAGCTGTCACGTAACAGCTCAGTTTTCTTTGTTACTAAAGAAATCCTCCTGTCTCACAGTACCTCGTATATTCGACGCCTACGTATAAAGTATTCAAGTATCCTTTATATCTCAAGAAGTGATTACCCGGGCTTTTGGTAATCTATATATATATAGGGGGCTTATTTCGCATGCCCGTGAAAACACTATCAACTGATTTATTAGATTCGACAGTGAGACACCACTGAATGAGTATTTTATTGTGTTGCTGTCGTTGCGTTTACAGGGAATATGTTACAAATTTTGTCTTGAAAATTTGACAGTAATCGGCGAAAATTATTCAATTAATTCTGAAGGCTTTCGGTATCATACAATAAGCAAATGCCATGTTAATGTTTGGCACGAACGCTTCAAATATGCCGAGTGAATACACACCTTTTGTTTCATAATTGCTGACGTCACTAGATTTTTGCTGACTTTTATAATTCCAGAAAATTACATATAACCTTACTTTTGCCTTCGAATACAGATACTTTATGATGGGCAGAGTCTCGTCTCGGGAAACTGACTCCGTTTTTACGTGGTCTCTAGGGAATTTTTGCCCGAGCCTACCGGCCCGGATACCCCACATTAAACTCGACCTTGTGCCACACCTTGGTGCGTGGGGCAGTGTGTAAATAATGATACTTTATGACATTTTTTTCGTCCAGTTAACTGATGTTTCTACCACATTTAGGGATTGTGTGTGTGTTTTTTTTTTATTACTAACCTTATTTTGTTTTGTTTTCTTGTATATAGTATTACTTCATATTGTAAATAATCATAGGGGCTTTTTAATTGTTGGTTTATCCCCCCCCCACAGACTTTGAAATGTACATATGGAGACTAGTTAGGATTTCATAGAGACATTGAGGTATTTTGGTGGATGTATTAACAAAGGTAGAAGCGAATGTGTTGTTTTGGTGATAGGATTATTGTTGGTATGTTTGGGTCAGTGTTTGTGACTAGCTAAGTATAGAATTAAGACAGAAGAAAACCGTCTTTTTCCCCAATCCCCTTTTTGGCCTTGTACCATATTTTGTACAATCGTACGAATAAATATCGATACTTTATGACCGGAGTACACAACGCATTGAATCATTTGGTTTATTTACTCTTCAAACTTCCACATTTTTTACTGTTGTTATCTGCAGGTAAAACTATAAAATTTAAATTTAAACCCAAAGTTAAAATATAAAAGAATAAAAGTGGTCAACACGTTTTTATTTTTGTGTCAAGAAACAAAACACATTTTTTTACACATTTGATGGTGCTGATTCCGCATATGACTTTAGTTTTATGATTAGCTATCGTTTTTGCTGTACTGAAATTGCTTATTTTTAGAAAAAAAATGTCAACTTACTATCTTGACTGATCGCAAAATTTAGTTAATAAAGGTCGTAGAAACCCATCAATTTTCAAGTAGGCAGAGCAATTTATG